ATATTTAATACTTGCGCCGGGTATTTAATGTTCGGCTCCGCCCGAACTTAGACTTTCTTACTTGTTAACTTTAAAATTTGTTGTGAAAAGAAAAAATTTGTAGCTTTCGTTTTTCTGGAAAAAATTGTGTTGACCCTTTTTCGAACAAAATTTAGTATGTAGTGCTAACATAGCGTGACCGAAACTCCAACACAAACGCAAATTTTATGGTGTTACTAACACACTTGTAATAATTTTTGATTGGACCGTCATCTATTGTTTTTTCGTGCGAGCTATCTTTCACATATGAGTAAGTAGTCAAGCTAATCTTTTCGCATACGAGCAAGCAGGCAAACTATTTGGTTTGAAAAATCACACGTACACAAAACTTCTAGGAGCGTTTTTGATTCACTATTAAGAATGNTTTTTAAAATCGCGCAATAACCACGCCTATTTCCCATATAACGGTAATTTTCAGAAATACGAAAACTGCGATATTTTAGTAACTACTGGAGATTATTCATTCAAAATTGATAATAATAAGTTTTAGACGAAAAATAAGAATATTATAAATTTTTGGAAAATGGGCGTAGCCACGCCCACTTATGGTTACATGTGCATATCTTGGTAACCGCTGCACCAATTTCTTCCAAACTTGGCACAGTTGTTGGCCTTGGTACAGCTAAAAAATCGCCGAAACTTTTTAAAATCGGACAATAACCACGCCCACATCCCATATAACGGTAATTTAGAGAAATACAAAATCTTCGATAAATCAGTAAATATTAAAGCTAATTGATTCAAAATTGATGCTTGCAACATTTCTTTACCAAGAAATACGTTTATGGTAAAATTTTGGAAAATGGGTGTGGCACCGCCCACTTATGATCAGATATAAGTATATCGGTAACCGTTATACCAATTTGTACCAAACTCGGTGTGGTTATTGTGCTTGCCACATATAAGCAAAACGTTGAAAATTATTGAAATCGGACTAAAATAACGCCCGCTTCTCATATAACGGTAAATTTCAGAAATTCTTGAAACTTCAATATTTCGAAATTCTAGGACGCTAATTTACTCAAAATTGATACACCCCGGCTTACCATCTAGCCGAAGGTTTCGGAAAGGTGAAAAAACATATATTTAATACTTGCGCCGGGTATTTAATGTTCGGCTCCGCCCGAACTTAGACTTTCTTACTTGTTAACTTTAAAATTTGTTGTGAAAAGAAAAAATTTGTAGCTTTCGTTTTTCTGGAAAAAATTGTGTTGACCCTTTTTCGAACAAAATTTAGTATGTAGTGCTAACATAGCGTGACCGAAACTCCAACACAAACGCAAATTTTATGGTGTTACTAACACACTTGTAATAATTTTTGATTGGACCGTCATCTATTGTTTTTTCGTGCGAGCTATCTTTCACATATGAGTAAGTAGTCAAGCTAATCTTTTCGCATACGAGCAAGCAGGCAAACTATTTGGTTTGAAAAATCACACGTACACAAAACTTCTAGGAGCGTTTTTGATTCACTATTAAGAATGTGATAGCAAAACGTGCCGAGCTTAGCGCTCACGCGTGACGGTCACTAGCAAACGCGGCATTTGAACAGTTGCCGAAAGCATGAGAGCTCATTGGGTCGGTTGGCAAAGCAAGACGCCGCAGTTCATTTGTTGCAGAAGACGTTTGACTTGTTGCTGAAAGCCATTTGACTTGTTGCCGAAAGCACGACGAATGTAGTAAAGGGTAATTTATCGTCTCGTATGTATGTATGTATTTATAGCGCGTCTACCATTCAATTGCTTTACTCTCTGCTGGCGCCAAGAACGTGTTGGCAGGCTAGTTGTAAGGAATGTGTATACGTACGTATGTATGTATGTATGTACATATCAATGCTTCATTTCCATGATTCAATAATACAAGGTTGGCAGTTGTCTCGCTCCCGCATTCTGCTTTAGCCTGTGTTGCCTTCTTTTTTGATTTGTAGAAACTACTACTAAAATACAAGAAGAAATATTGTCTTCGTATAAAAAGTTCAACAGGCAACACTGCCGATATTTTCATGGAAATTCATTTTCTTATTGGGCAAACTCAAGAATGGCAACAAAATCAAAAATAATGGAAATATTTTGAATTACAATAATAATTTACATACTTATTTGCAGGGTATCGGAGTTATTCATAATTTGTATTCAAAAAGTAGCGTTTTACAACAAGTGCAGCCGTTGCATGTAAGTTTTGCATGCTAGGATCCCTGTGTGTCCGTCCACGTATGGCTGGTGCAGAAAATACAAATAATAATAAATATATTCTCTTGTGAAAGTCAGGATCACTTGGGTGTCCGTCCACGTTTGCTGGTGCATGTATTTTTACCAGTGCAGCGTTTGAGTTGGTCAAGTGCAGCCTTTGCATATTTACAAGTAAGTTAATAAAGATATTTTTTTCTGCTCATTGGGAGTGACTGCAGAAAAAAGTACACAACATTACAAAAAATTAACATTTTTAAAAACGAATTGTAATTGAATTGCGATATTAAAGACATATTTTTAAAGTTTAACCGATATAATGATTAAAAAGACTGATTGGAGAAAAAAATAAAAAACATTCCGCAAAAATTAGATTTTTAAATAACTAAATGTAATTAAATTGCGATATTGAAGATATAACTTTTAAATGTAACCAATATAATGATTAGCAAGACTGATTGGAGGAAAAAGTAGAAAACATTACTAAAAAATTAAAATTAAAAAAAAAATACAAATGTAACTCAATTTAAGATATTGAACATGTAATATTTAAATGCAACAAATATAATAATTTTTAAAAGATTAATTTATATGCATTAAATCAACTGCATCTTTACTATTTGTATAATTCTTCATATAGTCCCTTTGAATAAAGGATTTGTTTGAATTCCATTAATTTTGTTTAATTATACTGGAATTTCAATGAAACCATGGTTTATTTTGAATATTTGGGAACATTTCTTCAAAGATTTCAAAGATTTTTCTTTGGCAAGAATTTTATGTGTATATCCATTTATTTCATTTTTAATATTTATGTGGCCATAAAAAGTTAATTTATTGTCTATTGTGTAGACCAGTGGAATCTTCTTTATATATGTATTTAATTCAATTTGTATACAAAAACGCATTTCCAGCACTACCAGACTACTTACTTTTCCTACTACCTTTTCACAAAAGGAGATAAAATTGTTACCCGCTTCTCTTTCCTTCGCAAATGCAACCTTACAAGGCAGTCGATTGACACTAATGTCAATATTTATCCAACCTTGTATTATTGAATCATGCTTCATTTCAAACAAGCAAATGTCGTTGAATTGTTTTTGAAATACAGTATCATGACTTCGGCAACCCATCAAACATGCCTTCAGCAACAAATGAAATGTTGCTTTCAGCAACAAGTCAAACGGCTTCTGCAACAAATGAACTTCGGCGTCTTGCTTCGCCAGCCGTCCCAATAAGCTGTCATGCTTTCGGCAACCGTCCAACAGAGCTCTCGCGCTTTCGGTAACCGTCCAAATGCAGTATCGTGCTTTCGGCAGTCGATCAAATACGGCGGTTGCTGGTTTCGTGCACGTTCACTCGGAATACTGTTTTGCCGAAGTCAATATCAGTATGAGCTGTTATAACCCAGCAAACAATTTGGTAATCGTTTTGCAAATCAAGCTTAAAATAAGCTTGCTTAAATAGGCTACTGCAAGCATTTTAAACCAAGCTTGAAGTAAGCTTACATGAATAAGGCTCTTGCAAGCGTTGTAAGTTCGACATTTACAAAATGTTTGGTATTGTAAGTGTTTTGCGAATGTCGTTTAGATTTTGCTAGGCAAGGTAACCGTTTTAAAAATGTCGACTAGTTTTATTGTTATTTTTCAGCGTAATCAAACAATAAATTTGTATCTCATTCTAGTTTTGATTTCTGAGAAGTAAAGAAGTGAAAATAGTGAATTTTTACTGATACAAAGTAAGTGAAAAAGTATGTGCGCAGGAGCACAAATTAATTATACAAATAAAGAATTACAAATACAAATTATTCAAATTAATTATAAAACGTTTACTTGACACATTTGCAAAACGCGTTATTCTTCTTCTTCTTCTTTTTTGGCGCTGTAACCGCCTAAGCGATTTTGGCCGAGTTCAGCAAAGTACGCCAGTCGTTTCTCCTCTGTGCCAACTGACGCCAATTGAAGCCAAGTCCTTCTCCACCTGATCTTTCCATCGCAGTGGGGGCCTCCCTCTTCCTCTGCTACCACCAGCGGGTTCCGAGTTGAATACTTTCAGAGCTGGAGCGTCGGTGTCCATTCGAACGACATGACCAAGCCAGCGGAGCCGCTGTATTTTAATTCGCTGCACTATGTCCATATCGTTGTAAAGCTCATACAGCTCATCGTTCCATCGTCTGCGGTACTCGCCGTCGCCAACGCGTAAAGGACCGTAAATCTTCCGCAAAATCTTTCTCTCAAACACCCCAAGAGCCGCCTCATCGGATGTTGTCATTGTCCATGCTTCTGCGCCATATACCAGCACGGGCATGATGAGTGACTTATAGAGCGTGGTTTTCGTACGTCGAGAGAGGACTTTACTCCTGAATTGCCTACTCAGTCCAAAGTAGCACTTGTTGGCAAGAGTGATTCTACGTTGGATTTCAATGCTGACATTATTATCGGTGTTAATGCTGGTTCCCAAGTAAACGAAATTCTCTACTTTCTCGAAATTGTAACTGTCAACAGTGACGTGGGTGCCAAGGCGCGAATGTGCTGACTGTTTGTTTGATGACAGGAGATACTTCGTCTTGTCCTCGTTTACCACCAGACCCATGCGCTTTGCTTCCCTATCCAACTTGGAAAAGGCAGAACAGACTTCGCGGTTTTTGTTACCGATGATGTCGATGTCATCGGCATAAGCCAGCAATTGCACGCTCTTGTAGTAAATTGTTCCTGAGCGGTTCAGTTCTGCAGCTCTTATTATCTTCTCCAACATCAGATTAAAGAAGTCACATGAAAGGGAGTCGCCCTGTCTGAAACCCCGTTTTGTGGCGAACGGCTCGGAGAGGTCTTTTCCAATTCTGACGGAGCTGGTGGTATTGCTCAACGTCATTTTACACAGCCGTATGAGTTTTGAGGGGATGCCAAATTCAGACATAGCGGCGTATAGGCAACTCCTTTTAGTGCTGTCAAAAGCGGCTTTAAAGTCGAGTTATTACGTGTCTTAAAAAAACATGTTTTGCAATCGTCATTTTAAAGCTTATAACAATGGGCGCGTTTCGATTATAAAGCGCTTACTTTGATGCGTTTTGCAAATGTCACAGCAGCGTTTTACAAGTGTTTTGCTTATATTTGAACGGTTACAAAACATTTATTTTTATATGAAATTGTTTGCTGGGTAAGCTATTTGCAAATAAAAATAATTTGCAAATACCTAACTCACTGTTTATTCGATGGTTAAAAATTCTTTTTAATACTGCCTGATTATAAAAAGGCAATTATATGACCATCGAAAAAGAAAATAAAGTTAAAAATGGCAACGTCTTGATTATAGAAAGGCAANTTGACACACGTCATATCCGTATTTTCAGGCGTGTTTTTTTTTTAAGTTGGTTAGTTTAAAGGCAAATAATTAATATTTACATAACTTTGTTTATTAACCGACTTCCAAAAAAGGAGGAGGTTATTAGTTCGTCGGAATATTTTTTTTTTTATTTTTTTTTATTTTATTATTTTTGTTTTGTTTTTTTTTTATGTATGTTACCGCATAACTTTGAACCAACCAGAAAATATTTTTTATGATAATATCATGCAGTCTTCTCCGCTTTCTATAAATCTTTTACGCGCTGCGACATCAAATTTATAAAATTCGGTAATGGTTCTGCTTCGATAACATTGCGCCAAACATCCTCTAGAACTGAAATCTACTAAAGAAATTCTAGCAAGTTCTTCATGATATCCCAAAGGCCCACGATTGGATTTTCTGTACCCTCTTATGAAGAAAAGAGATGATTTCCCCAACAGCTCTTTACAAATTTTTCTTTCCGCAAATGTTATTCTTACAGTACTATTCGGTACATTTTTGAAACCATGTATGTATAATATATACATATTTACCACGAATAAGAAGCCAATAGTATTAAGAATTCACATATTGAAACTCCGCTCCTGGTACCTTACTTTTACCTGTCTGTATTTCAATGTCCGCAACTGTAGTTATAAAATCATACATAAGCAACGGTTGTGATTTAGCAACTGGATTTATAAAATCTTAGCTAAATCTCTCATGGCCAGTTTAAACTTAGATTAAGTAAACTGAGTTTAAATTGAACAGCTGGCTGACATTTGATTGGCTGATCTAAGTTTAAACCAGCCAGATCGGGCGTTTAAACTTAGTTTAAACCCCGGTCGTGCACTGAAAAACTGGCACTCAATGGAGACATAGTACTGTGACTGTGCCTCATTATTTTTAATAAATTAACTATTAATGGAGATCATCATTTTCTGTCAAAAACATTTTTTTCTCCTAAAATAATAACCCATTGATGAGGTATATATTAATAACTGCTGGACATTTATTCGGAAAATGTTTGACATAATAAAAAGGCTGAAATCAGTCAAAATCTGGCCAGAGATGTAATTTTTAAGTGCCTTTGAATAGTAAATACTAAAAGCATTTTTAAACACGTAAGAAAAATATAATTTATGAAAGAATTGTCAAAATGTGTATATAGAATTTTAAATCAAATAAAAGGGGCAAAAGTCGGATGATTTTTTTTTTAAGTTTCAAAATAAGCCTTTTTTAAAAAGTCGGTGTCAGGGGGGCATCGATCTTCAAAAAGTGTAAATTTGACACTTTAGTCGCACAACGGTAACACTGGTTGAGTGTAACATCAAACACATTTTGCACTGTGAAAGGGCAACATTTTTGTAAATGCAGATTTAGACTGGTTTGTCATATTTTGTCAACAAATGTTGGCAACATATTTTGATACAACTTTATCTCCTTTTCCCATACCTTTCCCGAGTATATTATGGGCCAACAGCAGACAGATAGTCAATTTAGCAGCACATGTACACGACTGAAAACCTATTCTGATCTAAGTCAATAGACAAACCGTTTTTTTATTCCATTTAGCAACGTGTTTTCACTTATTTGTCGACAAATGCCACTGAATTTGACTTAGTGAAAACCAGCATTTATCC